GACATACATTCAACCAAAATGCAAGTAATCTGTTCACCAGGCAAATTTATAATTTAAAACACAACAGAACTAACATCGAAATTCATATTGCCAAACAAAACAATCATCAATAAATGTTGTTCTCTAGTCCATTAATCATCAGTGTATGATGCAAATGTTAGAATGCGAGGATGTCATTCCGCATGATTAGAAAGATCACCAAAGAGTTAGGGCATAATACAAAACATATACATTCGAGATTCAAGGAAACTACTACCATTACTGTACCATAACATGCATGAGTCTAACATAGATTAAGGACAAATATCTACATGACCTCTATCGAGAAAGGAGATTAAAGTCAAATGCACATGATGAGAAGTGAAAACAGAGGAAGAACAAGAAGCAGAGCAAGGACGAAAAAAATCAGAAAGTAATGGAGGAACCCCGATTTGATTCTGGGTATTAAGCCATAATCTCTCGAGTTATTTCATAACAAACTAACAATAAAATACAGAGATTATTTCATAAAGCCATAATCTCTTGAGTTATTCTTCATTCTCTTGGATTGATGTCTTTTTGGATTCTAAGGTTTTTTTCTTGCAATGACAGATGTTTTAATAGGGTTTATCATGTTTAAAAAGTAATCTAGATGAAGAGGGGATTAGGGATGCAGTTTTACATGTACAGTGAAGAACCAAGATGCGTTATGTCTGGAGGTTTGGAACAAAAGTGATTTTGACACCAAAGTTTCAATTATTTCTAAAACTATGTTATTGCAGAAAAAGTCAGAGTAAAAGATAACCAAAGTTTCAGCTATCCCAAAACTATGTTATGGCAGAGAAATATCAAAAAGTAACAGAAACCTGGATTTTTGTCAAAAACTTGCTAATCTACTGTTACAGAAACTACGATTCACAAAATAATATTGACATAAACAGCAGAGAAAATCAGAATATCTATTCTACATGCCTATAAGGAGGAAAATAAAATTAAAACTGTTACTAGCACATTCTAAATAATTGCACTTTTAATGTAATCTAATGTATGTTGTTCAAAAAAAAAAAAAAATGTAATCTAATGTATTTCCAAGTTCCATGCATCAACTATGTAAACACTGAAGAGGCCAATGTTTTTATACTATAAGTCTATAACAGTGATATTTCAGTCATTGTTACTATAAAAACTGAAGTCCGCATGTACGATTTATATAACCTAACACAGTATTCATCACCAACGTAGGGATGTTGAATTACGAGGGTGTCATTTTAGAAAGATCATCAAGTCATTAGAGTATAATGCAAAACAATCACAGACCATCACAAACCAATATGGACCCTTCATTGGGTATAATGTTAGATAAACACAAGAATAAATATTTCCAAGTCAGGTTAATCAATTTACCATACTGAGACTATTCCAATAATCAAGAAGGCAAAAGTCAGACTCGTACCAGAAGCAAAGATCACTGTCATTCGTAACAAATAATGAACAATAGGCAGACAAACAACCAACCAAAATGTATTCACCAAACAGATTTTATAATCCCAAACACAACAAAAAGTTAACATCGAGATATTCTATATGTCCATCATAAACAAACAATGAACAAGAAATGTTGTTTTCTTGCTCATTAATCATCAGTGTATGATGCATATTTAGAATGTGAGGATGATATTTCGTATGATTAGAATGATCACCAAAGATTCATAGCATAATGCAAAACATTTAAATTTGAGATTCAAGGAAACTAACACCATAATATGCATGAGTCTCAAATACGTTGAAAATAACTATCCACATGAAACTACTCCAGTATACATCTTTTTCTAAAAATGAGACCCCTAATGATACATACACACAAGCACCAAAACAAAGATGATAGTTATTTCTCTATTCAAGATAGAGATTACTGTAATTCTAAACACACAATATTGTAACGTTCAAATAAGCAAGAAATTTTGTACCACTTTATCAGATATGGTGAGAAATAAATATCTACAAGAGATTCCAAGATACGCCTTTTTCATTAAATGATAGACCTTACACAAAAGCACCAATTCAAGCATAAAGTCAAGGCAGTGGTTACTCAATAATCACACTGTATACAGAAAATCTAATGTTCTAATACTTAAAATCTACTTGTTCATCAAGAATCTGATAAATAACTAGATAAAGGATAGTAGCACGCATTATCTACACAACCATATATTAAAGAAATACTTAAATGGCACTTAAGATCAGTATTTTTAACTACGTAGATATACATAAATTAACTTAGTTTGTGATTTTCATATGAACTAATATCAATTTAATACAGAAAGATCTAGAAAGCTCATACCTGTGAAGTCTCTCTGTCCGAAGAGCAGATAAGTCCTTGAGAATTATGAACACCTATATATCAAAGAGAAACTTAAAGTGCACTTAGATGAGTATTTCTATCTTTGTGATTTTCATATATAACAATATCAACTAAATACAAAAAAATATAGAAAAGTGCATACCTGCGAAGTCATTCTGTCTGGAAAAAGCAGAGAAGTCCATGCGAATATGAACACTTTCTGTAGCATATACCTGAAAAATCCAAATTAGACATAGTTAAGTCTCTACTTCAAGTAAAACACCTCATACTTACCTTGTCACTTTCAAGGCACAGATCATGAATCTTTGTCTCAAGACTCATTCTCCAAGTCTTTGTCTTAACTCTTTTTTAAGCCGTGGGTAAACTGAGTAATCTTTTCCAAGTCTTTGTCCTAAGACTGTTACTCGTTTGAAGCCGTGGGTACAGTAAGACTCATTCTCCAAGTCTTTGTCTTAACTCTTTTTTAAGCCGTGGATAAACTGAGTAATCTTTTCCAAGTCTTTGTCTTAAACTGTTATTCTTTTTAAGCCGTGGGTAACTAAGACTCATTCTCCAAGTCTTTGTCTTAACTCTTTTTAAGCCGTGGGTATACTAAGAAACATTCTCCAAGTCTTTATCCTAAAGACCTTTTCTTAGTTGTGGTTCATAGTCTATGTCTAGACTGATGGATCAAGCAAATCCAAAAACCAACCCAGTCTTTTCCTAAAGACTTTTTTCAAGCCGTGGGTACTAGCTTAAGACTTCTTTGAGCATTGGGTCATTTTTCCATCGAGACTCTGCCCATAGTCTCTGTTTCCAGCCATTGATCGTTCTTTGTCTGATGGCTTTTCCCTTGTGTTTATAGTCTCTCTTTAGGGGTCATGGTCTCTGTTTTTAAGACTTATGTAAGCCTTTTGGTCATATTTCAGAATTACTTTTTCGGTTCATAGTCTATGTCTAGACTGATGGATCCAGCAAATCCAAAAACCGATCCAGTCTTTTTCTAAAGACTTTTTTCAAGCCGTGGGTACTAGCTTAAGACTTCTTTGAGCATTGGGTCATTTTAGCTTAAGACTCTGCCCATAGTCTCTGTCCTTACAAACTTTCCAGCCATTGATCGTTCTTTGTCTGATGGCTTTTTCTTTGTGTTTACAGTCTCTGTTTCTAAGATTTGTGTAAGCCTTGTGGTCATATTTCAGACTTACTTTTTCGTTTCATAGTCTTAGTCTATGTCTCTAGACTGATGGATCAACACATCAAAAAACTGATCCAGTCTTTTTCGAAAGACTTAAGTCGTGGGTAAGTATAAATCTGTTTTAGACATTGTCCTTGTCTTAAAACATTTGTCAAGCCGTGGGTACAAGTAAGGCAGCAGATTCACTACTTTCTCTTAGCCGTGGGTACTAGCTTAAGACTTCTTTAAGCATTGGGTCATTTCTTCCATCCAACTAATCGAGAATCTCTACCCATAGTCTGTCTTTGGGTAGTAGTAAAGTAGTGAATCCGTTAAGTCTTTGTAAGGACTTTTATAAGCCGAGGGTAGTAACGGATTCACTACTTTTCAAGCCGTGGGTACAAGTAACTCGTCAGACCTTTTTATAGTCCTTAGACTCTCTAAGCCATCGGTCATAATTCCCATCCAACAAGTCCAAAACCAGTTTATAGTCTTGGGACTTTTTATAAGCCGTGGGTAGTAGTAAAGTAGTGAATCCGTTAAGTCTTTTGTCTAAAGACTTTTAAGCGGAGGGTAAAGTATGGATTCACTACTTTTCTCAAGCCGTGGGTAGGTGTAGGTAAGCAACGGTCCCACCATTTTATAGTCCTTAGACTCATCACAGTCTTTTCCTAAAGACATGCATGCACTACCAACCAATCAAACGGGACATTCTCAGTACTGTTTGTTTATAGTCTTAAGACATTTTATAAGCCGTGGGTAGTAAAGTAGTGAATCCGTTAAGTCTCTGTCTAAAGACTTTTGATAAGCCGTGGGTACTAACGGATTCACTACTTTTCTCAAGCCGTGGGTAGGTAAGTAACGGTTTCACCATTTTATAGTCCTTAGACTTCGGTCATGTTATTCACCTTTCTATAGTCCTTAGACTTTAAGACCATCGTTTTTTTTTCCTTCCAACGCAACAAAACCCATAGTCTTACTCTAAAAGACTTTCCAACCCCTGACTTTTCTTTGCTTAGACATGCACCACCAACCAATCAACGGGGACATTGTACCCAAACAAGATTCTGACAAAACACTATTAGATTAGTGTATGCCAATGATCTTTTGGGTTTGGAACTTTGATAAAACCAAAACCAAAGCGTAAATGCTTTGAAAATCTTGATAAAAGCATAACCAAAAGCGAAAAGGTTTTGAGTTTTATAAAAAAGAGGACCTTTGTTGTTAGAAAACAAGAACACAAAAACCAAAAAATAACGAGTAAAAGAGCTGACCTGTTTTCTGCCGTTCATGTAACGAAGTATGGTTTCACTGTGCAGGCTGAATCGAAGTATGCTAAGTAGATTTCCTCCCCTGCACATATGGAAATAGCCAAATAAGTTGGCTAAAAAGAGTTGATGACAATTAATTACACATATTCCATGAATAGAATTAAGTTGGAGAACTGTTTTTCTGTCAAAACACAGAAGCAATGTCAACAAATAATACAACTTGCTGTTTCTTTCTTTAGTCTCCACTTACAAGGTTAAGAATCCAAGCAAGATATGTTGCCGCAGCAATGGAAGACCTTCCAATTGTGAAGTGTTCCAAGATATTTAATACAACCAAAGCCCTGAAAGAAGATACAAGATGATTCAAAAACCACACACAGGGACATGTATATACATAGATCAAACGAGTTTTATTTTCATGTAAACGTACCATTCGGTTTTGTCACCTAATGCTTTAAATTTTCTTGCAATTAGTATATCGTCGTTGTTGCTCAGGAACAGCAATTGGTTTCTGGAAAGGAAAGTATGCATCAGAGAATGGCAAGCAAGAAACTCAAAGACTGAAACAAATCTTGATTATCACAAAGAGAGCAAACAAAGCAGAAGCTTTCCTGAGTGACGCCGCCTTGTTCCAGAACAAGAAGACGATCCAGAAGAGCCAAACGACCGCTTCGTGCCGAGGAACTGAGACGGAAGATGGCGGAGAAGGGACCGGCGGCGGCAGATCGAGTATGGGTCCATCTATCATCTTATACACAGTGAGTTTCCACAATGTGGAGTCACAGAGGTACATTTCCGACTCCTAACCTCTCCCAAATTAGGTCCATGTGATGTTCCTCCCTTGGATTGAGACCGTTTCACTCATGTTTGTCCTCATAGTCATGTGTAGAACCTATTAATCCATGTTTGGATAAGTATGGGTCCATCTAGTTCATCTATACACTACAAGTGAGTTTCCTCAACCTGGAGTCACAGATGTACATTTCGGACTCCTTACCTCTTCCGGTTCCCAAATTAGGTCCATTTGATGTTCCTCCCTTGGATTGAGACCGTTTCACTCATGTTTGTCCTCATAGTATGTGGAGAACCTATTAATCCATGTTTGGGTAAGTATGGGTCCATCTAGTTCATCTTATACACTACAAGTGAGTTTCCACAATCTGGAGTCACAGAGGTACATTTCGGACTCCTTACCTCTTCCGGTTCCCAAATTGGTCCATTTGATGTTCCTCCCTTGGATTGAGACCGTTTCACTCATGTTTGTCCTCATAGTCATGTGGAGAACCTATTAATCCATGTTTGGGTAAGTATGGGTCCATCTAGTTCATCTTATACACTACAAGTGAGTTTCCTCAATCTGGAGTCACAGAGGTACATTTCGGACTCCTTACCTCTTCCGGTTCCCAAATTAGGTCCATTTGATGTTCCTCCCTTGGATTGAGACCGTTTCACTCATGTTTGTCCTCATAGTCATGTGTAGAACCTATTAATCCATGTTTGGTAAGTATGGGTCCATCTAGTTCATCTTATACACTACAAGTGAGTTTCCACAATGTGGAGTCACAGAGGTACATTTCGGACTCCTTACCTCTTCCGGTTCCCAAATTAGGTCCATTTGATGTTCCTCCCTTGGACTGAGATTTGAGACCGTTTCACTCATGTTTGTCCTCATAGTCATGTGTAGAACCTATTAATCCATGTTTGGGTAAGTATGGGTCCATCTAGTTCATCTTATACACTACAAGTGAGTTTCCTCAATCTGGAGTCACAGAGGTACATTTCGGACTCCTTACCTCTTCCGGTTCCCAAATTAGGTCCATTGATGTTCCTCCCTTGGATTGAGACCGTTTCACTCATGTTTGTCCTCATAGTCATGTGTAGAAACCTATTAATCCATGTTTGAGTAAGTATGGGTCCATCTAGTTTATCTTATACACTACAAGTGAGTTTCTCCAATCTGGAGTCACAGAGGTACATTTCGGACTCCTTACCTCTTCTGGTTCAAAA